GTGCATGCTTAGTCAAATCCTGTACTCCATGTTCACCCACGACTGCGTGGCCAAACACAACTCAAACACCGTCATTAAGTTTGCTGAGGACACAACAGTGGTAGGCCTGATCACAGACAACGATGAGACAGCCTATAGGGAGGATGTCAGAGACCTGGCAGTGTAGTGCCAGGACAACAACCTCTCCCTCAATGTGAGCAAGACAAAGGAGCTGATTGTGGACTACAGCAAAAGGAGGGCCGAACAAGCCCCCATTAACATCGACGGGGCTGTAGTGGAGCGGGTCGAGTGTTTCAAGTTCCTTGGTGTCCACGTCACCAACGAACTATCATGGCCCAAACACACCAAGACAGTCGTGAAGAGGGCACGACAACACCTTTTCCCCCCTCAGGAGACTGAAAAGATTTGGCATGGGTCCCCAGAGCCTCAAAAAGTTATACAGCTGCACCATCGAGAGCATCCTGACCGGTTGCATCACCGCCTGGTATGGCAACTGCTCGGCATCTGACCGTAAGGCACTACAGAGAGTAGTGCGTACGGCCCAGTACATCACTGGGGCCAAGCTTCCTGCCATCCAGGACCTATATACTAGGCGGTGTCAGAGGAAAGCCCCAAAAATTGTCAACGACTCCAGTCACCCAAGTCATCGACTGTTCTCTCTGCTACCGCAAGGCAAGCGGTACCAGAGCGCCAAGTCTAGGTCCAAAAGGCTCCTTAACAGCTTCTACCCCCAAGCCATAAGACTGCTGAACAATTCATCAAATGGACACCCATACTTTTTACATTGAGACCCCCCCACCCCCACCCCTCCATTTATTTTTACACTGCTGCTACAAACTTGAGCGTGCATAACTTTTCACCCCCCCAAAGTCAATACTTTGTAGAGCCACCTTTTGTAGCAATTACAGCTGCAAGTCTCTTGGGGTATGTCTCTATAAGCTTGGCATATCTAGCCACTGGGATTTTTGCCCATTCTTCAAGGCAAAACTGCTCCAGCTCCTTCAAGTTGGATGGGTTCTGCTGGTGTACAGCAATCTTTAAGTCATACCCCAGATTCTCAATTGGATTGAGGTCTGGGCTTTGACTAGGCCATTCCAAGACATTTAAATGTTTCCCCTTAAACCACTCGAGTGTTGCTTTAGCAGTATGCTTAGGGTCATTGTCCTGCTGGAAGGTGAACCTCCGTCCCAATCTCAAATCTCTGGAAGACAAACAGGTTTCCCTCAAGAATATCCCTGTATTTAGCACCATCCATCATTCCTTCAATTCTGACCAGTTTCCCAGTCCCTGCCGATGAAAAACATCCCCACAGCATGATGCTGCCACCAACATGCTTCACTGTGGAGATGGTGTTCTCGGGGTGATGAGAGTTGTTGGGTTTGCACCAGACATAGCGTTTTCCTTCATGGCCAAAAAGTTCAATTTTAGTCTCATCTGACCAGAGTACCTTCTTCCATATGTTTGGGGAGTCTCCCACATGCCTTTTGGCGAACACCATACGTGTTTGCTTATTTTTTTTCTTTAAGCAATGGCTTTTTTCTGGCCACTCTTCCGTAAAGCCTAGCTCTGTGGAGTGTACGGCTTAAAGTGGTCCTATGGACAGATACTCCAATCTCCGCTGTGGAGCTTTGCAGCTCCTTCAGGATTATCTTTGGTCTCTTTGTTGCCTCTCTGATTAATGCCCTCCTTGCCTGGTCCGTGAGTTTTGGTGGGCGGCCCTCTCTTGGCAGGTTTGTTGTGGTGCCATATTCTTTCCATTTTTTATAATGGATTTAATGGTGCGCCGTGGGATGTTCAAAGTTTCTGATATTTTTTTATAACCCAACCCTGATCTGTACTTCTCCACAACTTTGTCCCTGACCTGTTTGGAGAGCTCCTTGGTCTTCATGGTGCCGCTTGCCTGGTGGTGCCCCTTGCTTAGTGGTGTTGCAGACTCTCGGGCCTTTCAGAACAGATATATATATATATATATACACATATATATATACACACACACTGAGATCATATGACAGATCATGTGACACTTAAATAAAGTCTACCTGTGTGCAATCTAACTAATTATGTGACTTCTGAAGGTAATTGGTTGCACCAGATCTTATTTAGGGGCTTCATAGCAAAGGTGGTGAAAACATATGCACGCACCACTTTTCCGTTATTTTTTTTTTCATTTCAAATCACCAATTTGGACTATTGCAACAAAATAGGAAAAACGCCAAGGGGGATGAATACTTTTGCAAGGCACTGTACATGTACAAATTACCTCGACTAACCTGTACCCCCGCACATTGACTCGGTACCGGTACCCCCTGTATATAGCCTCGTTATTGTTATTTTATTGTGTTACTTTATATTATTTTACGTTAGTTTATTTGGTAAATATTTTCTTCACCCTTTCTTGACATGCATTGTTGGTTAAGGGCTTGTAAGTAAGCATTTCACGGTAAAGTCTACACCTGTTGTATTCGTCCATGTGACAAATAAAGTTTGATTTGATATGCATTACATGTCAAATGTATTTTCAGTGGCTAACAGATTAATGGTTAACCGTTTACATCCCTAGTTTGACGCCATTCCTGCCATTATTATGAGCCCTATTCCTTCCTCCCATTCCTGCAGCCAAATCACAGGTAGGCCTTTCCAAATATTAGAAAATCAGCTATTCTATGCAGTATTCTATTATACACTGAACAGTGTGGAATTAAATTAAATGTGTTGTATTGAGTAGAAGTCTAAATTTCAGCGACAGGTTTTTGGAGAACGTTTAGAAAACGTGAACAAGCGTCCGGGGGACGGGGCGAACAGGATACTAGGCCACTGATTTTTTCCCACTGTGGTATCGCGATACTACTCGGTATTGTGATACTTGGCCTGGTATCGTATCATTTGTAAAACGGTATTGTGACAAGCCTAGTGTCTGGTGTGACCACCATTTGCCTCATGCAGCGCGACATCTCCTTCGCATAGAGTTGATCAGGCTGTTGATTGTGGCCAGTGGAATGTTGTCCCACTCATCTTCAATGGATGTGCAAAGTTTCTGGATATTGGCGGGAACTGGAACACGCTATCGTACACGTCGATCCAGAACATGCTCAATGGGTGACATGTCTGGTGAGTATGCAGGCCATGGAAGAACTGGGACATTTTCAGCTTCCAGGAATTGTGTACAGATCCTTGCGACATGGGGCCGTGCATTAGCATGCTAAAACATTAGGTGATGGCAACGGATATATGGCACGACAATAGTCCTCAGAATCTCGTCACGGTATCTCTGTGCATTGAAATTGCCATCGATAAAATGCAATTGTGTTCGTTGTCTGTAGCTTCTGCCTGCCCATACCATAACCCCACCATGGGGTAGTCTGTTCACATCGTTGACATCAGCAAACAGCTCGCCCACACAACACCATACACACTATCTGCCATCTGCCCAGTACAGTTGAAACCGGGATTGATCTGTGAAGACCACACTTCTCCAGCGTGCCAGTGGCCATCGAAGGTGAGCATTTGCCCACTGAAGACGGTTAAGGTGCCAAACTGCAGTCAGGTCAAGACCCTGGTGAGGACGACCAGCACGCCAATGAGCTTCCCTGAGACGGTTTCTGACAGTTTGTGCAGACATTCTTCAGTTATGCAAACCCACAGTTTCATCAGCTGTCCGGGTGGCTGGTCTCAGACCTTCTCGCTGGTGAAGAAGCCGGATGTGGAGGTCCTGGACTGGCGTGGTTACACGTGGTCTGTGATTGTGAGGCCGTTTGGACGGAATGCAAAATTCTCTAAAATGATGTTGGAGGCGGCTTACGGTAGAGAAATTAACATTCAATTCTCTGGCAACAGCTCTGGTGGACGCTCCTTTGGTCAGCATGCCAATTGCACACGCTTCCTCAACTTGAGACATCAGTGGCATTGTGTTGTGTGACAACACTGCACATTTTAAGAGTGGCCTTTTACTGTCCCCAGCACAAGGTGCACCTGTGTAACGATCATACTGTTTAATCAACTTATTGATATTCCACACCTGTCAGGTGGATGGATTATCTTGGCATGTAAACAAATTTGTGCACATTTTAGAGAAATAAGCTTTTAGTGCGTATGGAACATTTCTGGGATCTTATATTTCAGCTCATGAAACCAACACTTAACATGTTGCATTTATATTTTTGTTCAGTGTAGTAAGGTTTGATTTCTTGCTTTTATTGCCATGGTGATCAAATGCACTGTACTGATGGCGCGTTGATACTGATGGCGCGGAAATCACAGAAGATGTGGAAGTTGCAGCAGCAGAGAAATATTTGAGTGTGAGAGATTTTAGTGCAGAAGACCTACTGGAAGTTGAGTGAATGGCTTCCATCCTCCCAGGCCGAAGGCCCGTTTAGGGCCAAGTTGTCGAATGGGATGATGGGAGGTGTATAGGCGCAGGGTTAGATTGTGGTGCAATTTAAGTTTTTCACATTCCCCTTTATTTTTGTGTTTGTCACCATGTAGAATGCACATTCCGAACTGAGAAATGCAACAATACGACAAAAAGCATCTAGTCTGCCGGAAATTCACATGAAGAATTGATTCCTTGCGGATACTCGTTACAAAACTAACGTTAGTTAGTTAACGTACGCGAGCTAACCTCGTTAACTAGCTAGTTTACGTTGAACTATTAGTCGACCTCCCTTACTAATGTTATTTTGTCGACAGATGTTCGTTAACGTAATGTGTAGTTACAGGCCAGACTGACAACGGAGAAGCACGCGGAAGAACCAGTCAGTACTGTCAACGGGAGACTGCTTTATGGAATTGGAGTAACGTTAGCTAGCTAGGTTGCAACATGACGATTACGTTAGTTTCATGATGGGGGCCTTGGAAGATTCGAGGGGGAGGGAGTGCCAATTCAGCACAGGACCCAAACTTACCATGCCGCCTTGATCCTTGTCGGTTTTCGATGTTATCTCCTGTTGTCCACGTTTTTCCGAAACCGGCTTGACCACCTCCGGCTTCTGCGGCGACGGGCAATGCTCCGAACTCATCCGCAGCCCCCGACTATACTCTCCCCAGTCCTCCACCCCGACTTCACCTCACTGTGTGAAAGCAACAAGCACTCGCTATTCAACTTGGTTTGATTTATAACTAAGTGCAATCAATTGGCACAATAAAAAGGAAATAGGATAGCCAATCGTCTAGTATCTTATTTTTCAATTACAAACCAAATCGTTCTCATGGCCGCACGACGAAGCAGACACCTTTCGAAGCTCTGCCAGGCGACGCTGACAGATAGTAAATCGCTCTCCGCCACAGTCCCATCATACAACGCGACCTGGGGTGTATTCCTTAGTCGGATTCTGTTACAAAACGTTTTGCAACGGAAACCGTTTACTCCAAAGGTAAAACGTTTTGTATCGAAAACAAGACTTTCTATTGAACAATTCCAGGTAGGCCCCTCCCTGTTTCGTTCCGTTTGCTCTGTTTGCTTCCGTTTGGTTCCTCTAGTAAACGATAACAAACCAAACGTTTTTCAACGGAATCCGACTAATGAACACCCTTATTACTGCCTCCATCCCTGATAACAGTGCTACATTTCCTGGCACGGCATAGCAACGAGAGCGGCACTCTTTCCGCATAGCGACAGCGTGAGCAGAAACAAATATATGGGATGTTTTCTTTATATATACGGTCTATGGATGTTTCAAAGCAGCAGTCAATTTGGGTAGTGAAAAAAACAAGAACATTCTTCCAGACAGTCTGTTTACAAACTTCAATTATCATATGTGGCTGTGCTCTATAACATTTCATTTAATATTTTCCTTGAAATAATCTCTGATCTGGCATAAGTGACAGTGACAAGTGGAACACTGCTTTCAGTGATTTCTTCAAGGAAGGGAAATAACAATGATGTATATAAACACATTATACACATTATTGGGAAAGAATGATTCATGTATTAAACAGGGACGAATTTTTCGGAACAACAAAGTCAGGAAGAACAGCGCCCGCTAGCGGTCTCTCGAGGCTAGGCAAAGGCTTGGTACAAACCTCAGGTACAAACAGCAGGAGCGACATAAACTAAATCAATCTGTGGTGTGCATATGGTTTTATGACAACAATACTACACTGCTGTCTAGATGTTGAACAGGTATCATATTCTCTGTGATGTTCTTCAGACATCTGAAGACAAAAGGTGTTGGGAATCATCTTTATACAAAAAGCAGTATAGTATCAGAGCACAACCTATGGGAGAATGGAATGTTTTGCCCATTCATTTCTTGAAAGTTTGGTGCCTACTTAGTTTCCTCTCATGCATTTTTCAACAAGTGATGGTTCACCAAACCAACAATCACTGCCACAGCTTCAACCAGAACAGTTCCAACCGCAATTGTACCAGCCACCCATGGCGGGACCAGTTGATTCATATCCACAGCCAATTTCTGGACAGACACAGAGTTGGAGAGGAAGAGGACGAGAAGGCTTCGGAGAAAGAGGAAGATTTAAGTCATCCTTCCAGCAACTTTCAGAAGCATGTTATAGTTGTGGACAGGTTGGTCACTTTGCCCGTGGGTGCAATAGGTCAGGAGGAAACATCAGAGGGAATTTCAGAGGAGGATACAGGGGCCAGTCAAGATCATCTGGAGGACCGGTGAACCCCTACAGGGGTCCGGAGCAAGGATTCTAGAGGTGCCTAGATGATCCGAAAGGGGGGTGTCAGCTGGTAGCATCAGGACCGGAAAAAGATCCAACAATTGAGGTGAAAATAAACAACCGACCATTGGAAGTGATGGCGGATAGCGGAGCTGCGTTCACCTGTGTTCGACCTGAAGATGCTACACATCTCCCTATGTCCAATCAACTCGTTAGGACAATCGGATTTGAGGGAGTAAAACAGCTGATTCCTCTTACGGAACCTTATTTTTTTTTTATTATTTACATTTTGGACCATGCAAGTAAAAAAAAGTATGCTTTTGCTCTTCTAGTTTCTATTCCCATTAGCCTGCACTGATGATAGACAACTTTTTATTTTCTTTAAAGAAAAATAGTAATTTATGCAATATGCAATTGTGGATGTTGTATACACAACTGGCAACAGCTAGCAACAATTAGAAAGTTACTTTTGGGAATTTACTGTCAAAATAAAAGCTCGAACAAACCCCTCTCTTGAGTTGCTCTGTCCCTGTCTTGAGCCCAGGGGATGTGTCTCAGAGTAGGAGTGCTGATCTAGTATCAGGTTCCCCTGTCCATGTCATTTTATTCATTGTGGTCTAAAATCATTAAAATATTCAAAATAAAAGCTTTTAGATTGTGGTCTAAAAGTTAGAATTAGAATAAATCTAATTTGAGTCAATCAGATCTTTTATTTTGAAGTTGATAACGGAAGTGATCGGATGCGTCCTCACTGCTGCTACGTTCACACCCATTTTATTGATCAGGTTTCTCGAATGGTTTGCATTCTCTTCTACAGATTATAATTAGTAAGAGACTGAAGGTAAGCTCTTGCAGGTTTAAACGATGAGTGGTTAAGTATTTAGTTACTTACTCACATCTTTCTCTTTGTGTGTCTGGAGATGATGGGTCGCGTTAGCTAGCCGTAATTGAAAAAGGAGAAGAACCTCTAACATTCCCACTGTTGATCCAGTAAGTTCAGTTAAAAGCATTTTTTATGTGGAAACATTGCTTTCCAATACAAATATAGTACTCTACTTCTGTGGTAATGCCTTCGGATAATGTCTTAACCCAAAAATGAATTATTTAATTTTATGGACTCTAAATCCGCAGGCACAAATCAAACCCATGTGTGGTTTTTGAATATGTGTTCATAAACATTGTTGTTGCCTGTATTGTTTTGTGTTCATCTACTATGTTTTGCCTCCAGATTGCAGTATGCCATGAACTGTACAACACTATCAGAGATTATAAGGATGACCAGGGAAGGATGTTATGTGAGCTGTTCATAAGAGCACCGAAGAGACGGTACAGAGGATGGTTAACATAGAACATAAGCCTCATTAAATTCACTTATCTATTGTTTTCCTTGAAGGAATCAACCGGATTACTACCACATTGTGACACATCCCATTGACATGATGAAGATCCAGCAGAAGCTGAAGGAGTACGATGATGTGGACCAGATAACGGCCGACTTTCAGCTCTTATTCAACAATGCAAAGGCATACTACAAGGTAATGTATCCCTCCCTGTAATAACAAACACATTCACTTACTGGACTCTTTAGGGGAGACAAATAATGTTTACAAAGCATTGTTTTGTAAGAAGGAGTTTTCATAATAAATGCCCTGTCTAGGGCCTAAAACCTGGAATTAACCAAATGAAAGGGAATGTGTTGCATGTCTGTAGCCAGACTCTCTAGAGTACAGAGCAACCTATAAGCTGTGGGACCTCTACCTGCGCACCAAGAATGAGTTTGTCCAGCGGGGTGATTACGATGATGAGGAAGGGGACGATGCACAAGATAATCCTGGAGGGTTCAATGAGGATGAGGTAACACCAGCACTTCCAATGTAGCATAAAAATTATTTATTACATGAAAACATGACTGCCCTGTCACACATGCAGCACATGTTTTTTATTAATATTTTACCTTTATTTAACTAGGCAAGTCAGTTCAGAACAAATTCTTATTGACAATGACGGCCTACACCGGCCAAACCCGGACAACGCTGGGCCAATTGTGCGCCGCCCTATGGGACTCCCAATCACGGCCGGTTGTGATACAGCCTGGGGTCTGTAGTGACGCCTCAAGCACTGAGATGCAGTGCCTTAGACCGCTGCGCCACTCGGCAGCATCTCCCACTCCCATATCTCTGGGAGTAAGGACGTCAGCGTGGCACAGCAGCTGAAACCTGGTTCCATCTGAGTGAAAGCTCCTTGGCCACAACACCAGACTCCAGACAATTGAAGCTGTAATGGAGGAAAGCAGACATAAATAGACAAGACATTTAAAACTTGCATACCAGCAATAACCTTAATTGTCCCCCAAGTTCAAGCAATAAGCTCATAAAGTACAAAGACAAAATATTGTATAAAATTGTCTTTGAATGACAGAATGCACCCAGTTGCCTGAAGGAGGTCCTTGAAGACAGTGGTGTAGTGGTCCCTGGAGAAGTGGGTATACTCTCAGTATGGAGAAGTGGGTATACTCTCAGTATGGAGAAGTGGGTATACTCTCAGTATTCTGAATCTTAAACTATTTGTCCCCATTCTTGTGTTTTAACTTACTTAAAAATCAACTACCAGCTTAGCTACTATGCAATTAAACTAGATCATATAGGTTAGTTAGGGCTAAGTAACTTGGCTAATGTTATAATTTAGGGCTTAGTAACTTGGCTAACGTTATAATTTAGACCTTTACAATAATAAACAAGCTTCATAAACATTGAGATAATCAGTTTCATCAGTCTGGTATGAAATTCTTATGAACTGGGTTGATTAAACACTTACTGAAAACCAACAATGCCCCGGTTTCCCCACATTATCCCAATCTACGTAGCTAGCTTCATAACGTTAGCCGACTCGCACTAACTATTGGCGGCAACATCTCTTCTCCTCTAAATGTGCAGTCACTGGCAATTTGCCAGTAGTTTAAAATAATGATTCATTTGGAAACCACCTTAAAACTTACCTCAGAATGATGTCTTCCATCAACTGGGGTGGCACACCGCCGCTTGTGTCCTTTCTTCATCCGTTGTTTGGTCTGCTGCCGTTATCGTAGTCAAGTGGCACCGGCACCTGAGTTTTTTTTTATTTTTTTTTCCACTGGCACCTGAGGTATTAGCGATATTTTCCTCGGCATGACCCGCCCTACTCTGCCTCTGATTGGCTCATCAGTCCTCATGCCTAAAGTTAACCAATCTAATCAGTGAAAGCAGCGAGTACCAGCCAATTAGAGGCAGAGGAGGGTGGGTCATGGCTTCACTATCCCCGAGGAAGAAAATAGGCAATCTGACTCACAGATATTACTGAATGATGCGCATCAGGGGGGATTTAGAAGTGGGTATACGCAATGCTGACTGAAAAATAAGTAGGTATACGCCGTATACCCTGGACTACACCTCTGCTTGAAGAGCTGTTGGATGCGATGGTGAAGTTTTCAGGGAGTCTAGTCAGTTATCTGTTCCAGAAACTGCCATCTAAAGTGGTAAGAGAACCATTCGCTCCAATCCTATGGTATGACATTGGTTGACGCTCAATGTTAAATCTCCCTACCATCCTATCTAAGCCAGTATCTATTATTCCTCTGAAGAGTATGAATTAGGCTGTTTGAGAAGGTTTGAATCCTAAGCAACCTGCATACACATTGTTTGTTTGAAGTACAATAGACTAGTGTTGTCACGATACCAACATTTGACTAACGATACGATACCAAAAATGTAGTGGCCTAGTGTCCTGTTCGCCCCATCCCACCGACGCTTGTTCCCGTTTTCTAAATGTTATGCGCATGTGCTACATAAAAAAAAAACTGGTTTACATTAGGCCTATGTGAATCCTACCTTTTTAAAGCACATCTAATGAGTAGCAGACCCTTTCCCTTTCTTCCTGTGCCAATCAAATTAGCCTAGACCTACTATCAAGTTACCAGGTTGTTAGCTAGCTAGGTAACATGACTGAACGATGTTTTTTTGTTATCAAACCAATAATTGGGGACCGGGATTAGTTTAAAACGGCCTGCGACATGGTTTGTGAAATTATGTCAAATGTGTGCGAAATCGGGTAGGAAAAAAAAAAGGTTGCTCTTGTAATATAAGTCATATTTGTTTAACCATTTGAGCTAGAGACAAGCTGTTTTCTTTGCTGTAAAGCTGCAAGCATGACTGTCGCGAAGCTGTTTCTCCTCTCTGGCACTGATGCGTGACAGCGAATTTGCAAAGCCTACTCAGACTGCCCTGTGGTCTTATACCAGGGAATACATTATACAATGTATCAACTTTGCTCTGCTCCAATGTACAAAATGTAACCGAAGACTGCTCAGGGTCTGCATCCCCGCTCGCCATCACGGCTAAATTATAATAGAAAAACTGATGGAGGAATAGATGCGGAAGGAGAGAAGCAGGTGAGTGATGGCTGGAAGGGGATGCGGTTGGCGGATTACAGCTGCACCCGTGATATGCGCATGAAAGTGAAGTGGACATTCTTGGACTGGCACATACAAGAGATTAGTTGCTGTTGCTTAATTTTTTTTACTGACTTGATACAATTTTTTATAAGAGGTGCCAGCTGGTTCTTTAAATCGGTAGGGCCAAAACATTTGGTAGTATCATATGAAACGGTACTACGGTATTCTAAAATGTGGGTATCATAAGTATCATGATGTTTTGGTACGGTGATATCACCGTGGTACCGGTATACCGTGCAACACTACAATAGACCAACAAAGCTACTGTAGTAGGTCAAAGCAGGTACAAAAACAATTAAAGAAATGCATACAAAAATAACCCAAACCCATTCCCCCTCTCAGTCCACATCCACCTGCCCACATCCTCCCTCCCCATCTGGAGACCATGTTTCCCACCCCGCCTAACCACCTCCCCGAAGAAAGCGTGCCTCCCACCTCTTCCCATTCCACCCAGCAACTGAGGTTGCTTATCAGTCCCCCTCCCAAGTTCCCCCCAATCCCCCCGCCCTCCCCCCACAGCAACCAGAGACACCATATTCTGTTCCATTTAAAGGGTTGTTCAGATTCAATTCGATCTGGGGACCATACTTTTTTAATGGCTAGCTCAGAATATGAGCCAAAAGTTGTTTATATATTATGGCGATCAGTCCTTTCGGGAGCCCAGATAATTTATTTATAAATCCCATCATTGGATGGTTCGGTAGTTGGGTGTCCCAAGGGACTCCATGTTGTAAATATAGAAAAAATGAGTTGCCTGGTAATGTGTATGTATCTTTCAAATCTTGGAATGTTCTCGAACAATTACCGTCCATGATATTGGTAAGGGTACGGATTCCACATTTGGACCATTGGGGGGGATGCAAAAGTCCGCCCTCCAGATCGCAAGGCATTATTATGAAATATTGGAGTATGGGCATGCCATTTTGATTCCCAGTTACATAGTTTTTAAATTTTGTGCCAAATAGAAATTATGTGTAGAAACAGTTTTGATTGTTGATTTCTTTCCCCTCAGCAATACCCAGACTATTATGCCATAGTAAAGGACCTAATAGATCTGAAAATCATTACCCAGAAGATACAGGTATGCTACCCAACCATCTGACTGAATGTACTGTAGATGGTTAAAGTAACACTACAGTGTGCATACAATAAATCACTGGTCAATTTTTTTCTTAGATGAGCCTCTACAGAAGTGTCAGCCCCATGGCAAAAGACATAGAATGCCAAAACGTACAATGAGCCTGGGTCACAGGTTTTTAAGGTATGCTGTACTACAGAATTCTGACTTAATTCTGAATGGATGTCAGTTTTGTTTGTTATAACTCTTTCTTTCTTATTTATTTAAGGATGCCAACACCATCAAAAATATTTTTCCACAGAGAAAGACAGAAATTGAGCATGCTGAGCCAATCAAATCCAGCATTCGCATCAAGTAAGCGATACCATAGACAGAACAGAAAGTAGACTTTATGAGCAAACAACATGCAACATTTACAAGGATTTTCCATGAGTTAAACATCTCTGTGTGTGTGTGTGTCAGGAACAGAAGGTCTGCCCAGGGAGACTGGCTCTCAGCTATTACCATGGCTCTTCAGTATGAGAGTGATGACGAATGCATTCTGGCTGGTACGTCTCATTGGTCTGTTAGCTGTTTTGGCTCTGCATTATCAACCCTATAAAAAAGAAGGAACATAAGGGACATTGCAGTGCTAAGTATACTAATATATGAGGGTTTGTCAGAAGACTTCAGACTTCATCTGTCTGATTCAATTGTCTCTCATTGCCCAGGGTCTGTCCACTATGACGAGGGGGAGTCGGAGGCAGAGAGCATCCAACACAGCATGGACATGAGTACCCCAATCTTCCAGATGTACGAGGCTCTGCAGGGTGGAAGGAACAGCCAGGGACAGCTCATCTCCGAGCCTTTCCTCCAGCTGCCAGGAAGGACTACCCAGACTACTACCAGCAGATCAGCCAGCCCATCTCCCTGCACCAGATTAGGTAGGCCAACCAGTGGAAGGACAGTATCTGCTCAATAAATGGCAGATTGAGAAGTTGTTCTACATAAAAGGGTTATTTGAAACAAATTCATGCAAGTGTGATTTATGTCATCTGGGCTCCAAGATGGTCCATTTAATAGCCTATGTCAAGTTTTATTCAGGCCTCATAATTATCCTAAATCAGCTGCTGTATGTTTTGTGTGGCATAACATGGCATGAGCTGTACAGTGTGTTTCTATCCCATCCCTTCCCAATGAGAGCCCTTAATTCCCCACACACAGGAACAAGATGAAGAACAACGAGTATGAGTGTTGAGCAGCTAGACGCAGACCTCACTCTGATGTTTGAGAACGCCAAGCGCTACAATGTGCCTCACTCCTCCATTTATAAGTGTGTGCTGAAACTCCAGCACATTCAGCAGGTCAGTGTGTGTATGAGCTGCCAATGCTGGAACTGAAGTTCAAGCTCTGCTATAGTTGTGTATCAGTATCTGTATGACTGTAAAGTATCCTATGCTAATTATTAGGTGTAACGTTACTGGAGTATTTAACTTACAATGAGATGATACTGCTGCTTAGGTAATCTGGTCTCTCTGGTGTTAAACATTGATTAGGTCTACTCAGTTGCAATCAATTGTTTTGTGGATAGTTGCTTGTTCTACTTATAAATAGACAGAATATTAAATATTGGAGCTGCCAAACCATGATGGCTTTTATGTTTGGGAGAAATGTTGGAGAGAGATAATGAGATGGGGAGAGTAAGAGGTGCTAGTTTGTATTCATGAACGTGTGGGAGGAAGAGAAGCTAGTTGTAATTGGTGTGTGTGTGTTTGTCTTTTCCTAGCTGAAGAAAAGGAGCCATTGAGGAGGGAGGGGGACAGCATGGATGGGGACAGCATGCTCTCTTCTATCATCAAGATGTTGATCATGCCGCTGAGCTCCGTTAAGTTTGTCCCTTGGGACGTACCGTTGCCTGTAGTCCATTTTGCATCCATGTTCGCCCCTAAGCAAGAAGAAGAGAAGCCTGCAGAGATACAAGAAGAGGGCAAAGCCGCGGACACTATTGTGGATAAGGTGAGTGGTTGGAAAATAATGTGCAATAAGAATTAGATTCAATTGGATTTAACAAAGACATCCTGACTGCGTATGTATGTGTAGGGGAGGGAGGATGTAACCCTGGACATGACCAATGGAGAGCCAGGCTGCCAGTACTATGAGCAGCTCTACTACAACGACACCTGGCTAAAAGTGGGAGACTGCGTCTATATTCGCTCACATGGACTAGTGCGCCACCGAGTGGGCAGGTATGGTAAATACAACTGTACAGACACATTTCCCAGAATAGGATATTGCTTGAAATATAATTATTATTTATGTTGTGTATTTAAAATAAAGTGAGTTTTATTTTTGTCTAAGTGTTCCTTAGCAACTTGGAGGAGTCTTGCCCCATGACCTGTATCATAGGTACTCTCTCTGCCCCTACATAGTGTCCCCTTTTGACAGACAGTATTATAATGTTGATGCTATGCTATGTTATTTTCAAATGTTGATAAGAGGAACATCCAAGTTTAAGTGCATGGGTTGATTGTATTTCACCGAACATGTGCCATGCTTATATATCTCTCTCTGTTCACTTGTTCCACAGGGAAGTGTGCAGTGTCCTCCTTCAAGGAGTACCTTTTGTGCCGGCCCACTGAAGTGCCTGAGGAGGACATTCTGCTGTGTGAGAGTCGCTACATCAAGAGTGACAAACAGATGAAGTTCAAGGGCCTGAAGCGCTTCTCCATCTCTGGGAAGGCGGGTGGAGGACGAGATCTATTACTTCAGGTGAGTGGTTTGACCTTTACATGCCTCAAGATACTGTGGCATACTCAGCAAAAGTAAGAAAACATTCCACAACGCAATAAAGCAGAATTGAGTGACCCTGAATGGGTGAGTTATGAGTCAGTCACAAACACGCAGGTGTAACTGCACCCAGTCTACTCCACATGTGTCCCGTACAGGAAGCTGATCGTGCCCCAGAAGGAGCCGTCCCCTCTGCTGGACGGGAAGATTGCGGTGCTGGAGGCCAAGTTTGCTGACATGACAGACGAGGAGTTGGAGGACCTGGGTGAGGATGATGGGGAGCTGGGAGACACCTCCATACCCCAGCTCCAGAGCCCCATGGCAGGCAGCGACATGGACATGCCTTACACCCCTCCACAGGTCAGAGCACCAACATACACTGGGAAAATGTGTGGTGATGTTGTGAAGGTAAGGATCGTCCACCCTAGTTTAGATGTGTCAAATGAATCGCATGCATCCTGATTGAAAGAAAATGATTTGCATGTTCAGGGTGAGATTGATGAAAAAGCCCTCTTAGCCATCCAGTTGGAGGTGTGTATAGCAATGACAGTATAGAGATCACATGACACACTCTCCCTTACTTGACTGCAGTCCACTCCCAAGTCCATGAAGGTGATGTCCAAGAATGAGGGCTCCAAGAGGAAGATCAACATGAGTGGCTACATCCTGTTCAGCAGTGAGATGCGTGCGGTCATCAAGGCCCAGCACCCAGACTTCACCTTCGGGGAGCTCAGCCGTCTGGTTGGCACCGAGTGGAGGAACCTGGAGTCTCCCAAGAAAGCTGAGTATGAGGGTAAGAGATCTTACAAATGTACTTAGAAGGGACTTTTTCAGGTTTCTAAAAATGACTGGTCGTTTTTTCAATCCCCCTTGCAGTAGTGTCTCTGCCAATTCCCTTGCAAAAAGTTGTATTAGTATGTGTGTTTGCAGAGTGAGCAGCCAAAGTGGCCGAGCAGCAGGAGCGGGAGAGGGTGGCCCAGCAGCTGGCTTTCCCTAGAGCAGGTAGCCCAGTAGGAGTGCTGATGGGGGTGGTGCCTCCCCCAACCCCCATAGGGATGCTTTATCCCAGCATGATGCCTGTGTCAGGTAACCCCTCACTGTCGGGGATGCACCCCCCTGGGGACACTTGGAGTTGCAATAAAAGCTGAACTGCTAGAATGATGAGCCCTTTTTAATTTTCTCATCACTCCACCCTTGGCTACTATTTTATTGTAGTACTGTGCTATCCCCTCTTTTCAATTATACACTACTTCAACATTTATTAAAAAGTTGACCAGTTTCACTGCATCTTTCTAGCATCAGTCTTTTTCAAGTAGTGCTTGTGATTTGTGAATTAATTGCATGTGTATGAATGTCTGATTATGGAATATCAAATATCTTAACTCTAGATTGATGTTTAGTCATTTAGCTAGTGCATGACCTCTGCCAGCTAGTTGTAGTTGCATGTACCACTGATGCATGTATCTGTTGTGTTGCTATACCCTCCTCCTCCTCCCCAAAGGCATGATGGGTACATATATGCCACACAATAATGCTGCAGGGCCCAGTTGATGGCATGTTTAGTATGACTGGCATGCCACCACATTACATGAGGTTGCCTTTCTTGCCCCATCATCGCCTGATGACAGGTATCTCCGGGTTCCTTGGCATGCCATACCCGGGTAAGAGCACTTTCACAGCCACCCTCCCCGCCACACCCCTGTAGTTGCTTCCTGTCTGCAACTCTAACTCACTGGAGGGGCTACCTGTAACATAGGCTGTTGTCCAGTAGTGACTAACCAGTCAACAGCTGATACTCAGTAGCTGAGGGATTCATCAACAGGGTCATGCATTGCTAATTGATATTGGAAATACAATGTTTCTGGAAACATAGTTCTCTGAAGTACCTGAACCTTCAATGTAGATTGTTGCTGAGAGGGTTTAATGGCCCAAATTGGTCTTTCTCTAAATTAAAAGAGCAGTAGTAAAGTCAGTATTCGACAACACAATCCAAGATAGCCAGCTGCTTACAGCTGGAGAAGCATCCAGCTACAGATTGTGCGCGCTGACGCTGCGTGGTCTGTGAACCTCAAAGCTCATGCATCTCAGATGGTATTTTTGGGTCTCAAATGGTATGTGGCGCACAACCTGCAGACGTTTTTGGTCTTGTATATCGCATGAGTCAATAGCTTTGTTCCAGGGCGTCAGTGTGCTACGCACATAAACTATATATACAAAAGTATGTGGACACCCCTTCAAATTAGTGGATTTGGCTATTTCAGCCACACCTGTTGCTGACAGGTGTATAAAATCGAGCACACAGCCATACAATCTCCATATACCAACATTGGCAGTAGAATGGCCTCACTGAAGAGCTCAGTGACTTTCAATGTGGCACCGTCATAAGATGCCACCTTTTCAACAAGTCAGTTCATCAAATTTCTGCCCTGCTAGAGCTGCCCGGTCAACTGTAAGTGCTGTTATCGTGAAGTGGAAATGTGTAGGAGCAACAACGGCTCAGCCGCGAAGTGGTAGGCCACACAAGCTCACAGAACGGGACCGCCGAGTGCTGAAGCGCGTAGCGGGTAAAAATCATCTGTCCTCGGTTGCAACACTCACTACCGAGTTCCAAATTGCCTCTGGAAGCAACGTCAGCATAAGAACTGTTCGACGGGAGCTTCATGAAATGGGTTGCCATGGCCGAGCAGCTGCACACAAGCCTAAAATCACAATGCGCAATGCCAAGCGTCGGCTGGAGTGGTGTAAAGCTCGCCGCCATTGGACTCTGGAGCAGTGGAAACGCGTTCTCTGGAGTGATGAATCACGCTTCACGATCTGGCAGTCCGACGGACAAATCTGGGTTTGGCGGATGCCAGGAGAACGCTACCTGCCTGAATTTATAGTGCCAACTGTAAAGTTTGGTGGAGGAGGAATAATGGTCTGGGGTTGTTTTTATTGTTTAGGCCCCTTAGTTCCAGTGAAGGGAGAGCTTAACATTACAGCATACAGTGGCATTCTAGACGATTCTGTGCTTCCAAATTTGTGTTAAAAGTTTGGGGAAGGCCGTTCCTGTTTCAGCATTACAGTGCCCCCGTGCACAAAGTGAGGTCCATACAGAAATGGTTTGTCGAGATCGGTGTGGAAGAACTTGACTGGCCTGCATAGAGCCCTGACTTTAACCCCATCGAACACCTTTGGGATGAATTGGAACGCCGACTGTGAACCAGGCCTAATCTCCCAACATCAGTGCCCGACCTCACTAATGCTCTTGTGGCTGAATGGAAACAAGTCCCTGCAGCAATGTTCCAACATCTAGTGGAAAGCCTTCCCAGAAGAGTGGAGTCTGTTATAGCAGCAAAGGGGAAACCAACTCCATATTAATGCCCATGATTTTGGAATGAGATGTTCGACGAGCAGGTGCCCACATACTTTTGGTCATGTAGTGTACCATTTGGCGCACTAGCTCTGGTCCACTGTGTTATGTTAACCACTGTTGCTTGTGCAGCTAGCTAGTACACACTAGCTAGGATAGTATCTATCTTATAATTTTAAATGTAATTTATGTTTGCGGTAACACACAATCTTCTCTGGCACCATTCAACATCCTGTCTTAGCTCGTATGTCTCACAGTGTCTGTGACGTGAGAAGGTGTCTGCTGCAGCCAGACCCTATTGGACAGCTGTGGCATGGAGCACTCTGTTACTGTTTATGTTAATGCCTTCACTACAGGTGTCAACACTGGTGCTCCTGGAGCCTACGGAACCCAGGTAATCTACACTTCTATACAATGTATTTTAGAAAAGCACAGACTGTAAATGCTTGTTATTTTATTACTCACATCTGTATTTGAGAATGAGTAGAGGCCCTTGACGCTTTTTTAAAATGATTGGTCCTGGGCAGCAGGCCCCGCGGCCCTACCCAGGACAGGGCCAGCCTGCCTTCCAGCAGCCCTCAACACCCATATTTGTAGCCCCGCCACCCAAGCCCAGGTGCCTGCTCCACTCCGATGCATACCTGAAGTACATTGAGGGACATAATGCAGCGTCCTCCACCATCAACAAGTGGGATCAAACTCTCTCAGGTGAGCTCTCATCACTGAAAGAAAGTGATTTACACCACATCTACAAATCACTTATACGATATTTCAGTGATTGGTGTATCAGTAAATGACCTTGAATAACAGAAAAAACATACAGACAGTAGTATAATTTGTCTTCACCTGCAAAGTGTATCATGAATGTACAGTATGTACTATTTCCCAAGAACCTTGTGTATGTACTATGTATGTGTTGTGTATGTGGGCGTGTTTAAGCAGCTCGAAAGAAAGATGTGCGGCAGACCAAAGAGCAGGAGAGCCGGCTGCCGTCCCATTGGCTGAAGAGCAAGGGCGCCCATTCCACAATGGCAGTGGCGTCTGCGAGACCTGATGCCACACTGAACATCCGCCAGACATACAACCTGTAGGATATCTGAGCCACTGCTCCATACACTGTCAGACAGGAAAGGGTTTTTTAGGCTCATTAGAAAATGTGTAAATGTTGTCATGTTAAAGTGGGCATTCGTTTGTAGAATGGTTAAATTAGCTTGCTTACTCTGTTCAAGCTGTTTTGTGTTTGCATTTTAATTGTTCTAACAAGTGCATTATTGTATTGAATGTTTCTCTGTGATGGATAAACATTTTCATAAAAAATGCAGAGAAGGGACTTGTTCTTGACTGCTAATTTAGTATCTGTGTGCTGCAATATGGGACATTCTAGTGGGCAGTGGGAACCCATGCCCTGACTCCAAGGCACCAGACAAGAAAAGAGAAGAGGAACCAACAAACTTTGTTTCTTCTTTAAGTTGTTCTATTAGACTGGTTTAGCCAATTCTGATATTTTTTCACTTCTTTGAACCAATCAGATCAGCGCTGAAAAAGATCTGATGTGACTGGCCAAAAGACCAATTAGTGAGAAAAATATCAGAATTCAGCTGGTAGTGAGAAAAAGATCAGAATTCAGCTGCCTGTCTAAACGCAGCCTTGGTCTTCCATGACATGACTATGAAGTCAAAACCATAATGTATCTTGGGTAAATTGAGTGACTGACCTACAAATGATAATGAGTTGGCTAGTTATTTATGATGGAAGGTGATTTGTAGATCAGTCAGTAGGCATTCGCCTGCAATGTCGAACAAGCCCAATGACTCGGTGAACACACTTGATCAATCAATAACATGGCCAATGCCATCCACTTCTTTTCAAGTGCGCAGGGGCGTGTCTAGCGTGGTTTTCCAAACTTCTTTTGCGCACGCCCAGTACACAGACGGCGCAGTGGTTTGAGATTTTTGAAAGCCAGCTAGTCAGGCAGCAGCGAATCACAGCACACACGCCGGTTGAGACAACAAAAGGCAAGAGAAGGTATGCGAACTCTTTGTAATCTCATCGCTCTATCAAATTATACATATTAATGTACATTGTTGGTTGGTTTGTAGAAAGATGGAAAACTGCGGTGGCCATTTCTAATCTGCCCATCGTGGATAATTTAGCTACTAGCTAAGAAGTTAAGTAGCTAACTAGCATTAGCAAGCGAGCTAAATGGCTAGCTAGTTTCTTGCAGAACATTCACAGATAGTACCCACCCCTTATTCATTGTATTTCACAGATAGTACTCACTCCTCATTCATTGTACTATCTGTGAAATACAATGAATGAGGGGTGACTATTCACAGGAATGTCCCTGTATTGATGTGTAATATTATTATTATTATTATTGTTGCAATAAAAAAAAAAGAGGGCAGACTTATAAAAAAATATTTGGAACAGTGCCACACTGCGTTGCGAGTACACTGTACAGAATAGGTTTATAAAAATGTTTTTTGACAGGAAAGGCTGTCTGGCCTAATTAGCTAATTCGCCCAAATTTAACACACAAATGAGATACTAACGCGCAAGAAGATGTTCTAAGTTAGCCTGAATGACAGCCATGCCATGGCTAGTACTGCTGGCCTACCAGACAGCCATGGCTACCTTAGCCTGCTACTAGTTAGCTAGTTTGGTAGCTAGTTACTTAGCTAACTTGCGCAGTCATTCAGTTACACTACTCAGTAGCTACGTTTATGTCATTGAAACTAGTGTTGGATAGTTTTAGATGTATGCAACCTATCCTACAGTTGTTCTAAACTAGTGAAAGTTAAGTATTTTGAATGAGCATCATCACCATGCCAGAGTACCATGCTAACATTGCTAGCTAGTGGCTAACTGCAGCCCCCAAGTCCCGCCCCAGATTTACTGTGATTGGGTAAAGTGTCTGACCTCTGGAAAATAACGAATTCCATTGGAGCACAAAGAGGATGCAAGTCTAGCTCGCTTGACCTACTCATAAATTGATTGGCTGAATATAACTATCTTTGCCTCCGTTGTCTTCATCGTGCTGTGAAATATTAGTGGGTAGGTGTGAAGTTACTGCGCATAATTAGAAAGTGGGTAGCTTTCTAATTATTCATAATGCCCAGTCATTTATAATGACCAGTCATTATGAATGACAATCAGCAGCTGTATCATTTTCTAAATATAACTTTTCCTCATCTGCTTGTAGCTAAGACAATCATTCACACCTGCACTGTTGGAGCTCAGAGGTTAAGTATTCCACTGTACACTGCAACTACATCTGCGACCCTGTGCATGTGTCTAAATAAAAGTTGTATCTAGTCATTTACGTCATTTAGCAGATGCTCTTATCCAGAGCGACTTACAAATTGGTGCATTTAACTTATGATAGCCAGTGGGGGAGGTGGGGTAGAAGGATTACTTTTATACTATTCTAGGTATTCCTTAAAGAGGTAGGTTAGTAATCAGCTAGTTGAGACTACAACTACTATGTCTAATGTAATTATTATGACTATCTTTCTAGGGCACCATGGAGCTGAATGATGGAAACCTTCAGACCCTCACAGAATTTATGCGCAAAACTCTGGACCCGGATCCATCCGTCAGACGTCCAGGTATGGGAGCTCAGAGTAGAATGCATCTTCATTTAAAACACTCATGCACTGATCAGTCATAGTATAAATGTACATACTTTGGGCATTATGTACAATTTCCCAGTGCTTGACTGGAATGTTCTTATTTCCCTAATTTCTTCCAGCTGAAAAGTTTCTTGAGTCAGTTGAAGGGAACCATAACTACCCAATATTGCTGCTTACATTGTTGGAGAAATCCCAAGACAACGTGATCCGTGTGTGTGCAGCTGTCACCTTCAAAAACTACATCAAGAGGAACTGGCGCATAGTAAGTTAGTGGTTGCCTGAATATTTAAACAAATCAAAGTGTTATGAGTTGTGCAAGTATTGTTGGCCCAACGTTGGCATGACACGTCTTACTTTGTATCCTAATGTTGCTTTCAGATTGAAGATGAACCAAACAAAATCTCAGATCCCGACCGAACCACTATCAAGGCCAACATTGTAAATTTGATGTTGAGCAGCCCTGAACAAATTCAGAAACAGGTATGTCTGCACAAGAGGCAATACCTGTTACCTGCTCGTCTACTGTACATCAAAGTCAGTGAGCTGGTGCTGGTTTGAAGTACTTTCATAGGAGGTTCTTGGAATCCATCTACATGAGTTCACAATCCTTTAGGATAATCCCTGTACACAATAAAAAAGGGCGATTTGTAGAGATGGATTAGTTTTACTGTAGTGTTTACTGTTCTTCTACAGTTGAGTGATGCCATCAGCATCATCGGCAGAGAGGACTTCCCTATGAAGTGGCCGGACCTCTTGACAGAGATGGTGACCCGCTTCCAGAGCGGAGACTTCCACATCATCAACGGAGTGCTCCGAACCGCACACTCACTTTTCAAGAGGTAAACCACCATGGGCATAACACTTGGTCCTCTAATGATAGGTGTCATAGTGAATTATGTCTTTGTGGTTAGTTTTTAAAGATGTTCACACTGATCATCTGTTTACCCAGGTATCGACATGAGTTTAAGTCGAACGAGCTGTGGCTGGAGATTAAACTGGTGTTGGACACGTTTGCGAATCCGCTGACTGAACTCTTCAAGGTTATTGTTTACAGAGTTAATCAACTCTAACAATTGAAATGTATTTCAAGTAAAAACAACATAGTTCTTGAAATTGGTGCTGCCCATCGCTTGCTTTTAGTTTGTAGGACCTGCTATTCATGTCTATTGTTTCTGTCAGGCCACCATTGAGCTGTGTCAGACCCATGCGATGGACATCAACGCTTTGAAGATCCTCTTCTCGTCCCTTACTCTGATTTCAAAGCTCTTCTACAGTCTCAACTTCCAGGTGCGCCCCCCACCTACCTATGATCTGCTTCATGCCCACAAGGACATGCTGCATTTTAATGTGCTGCTTTTTCACTGGAGTAAAAAGTAATCTTATTCTTCCATCTTTCTCTGCTTTCACAGGACCTTCCTGAGTTTTTTGAGGACAACATGGAGACCTGGATGTCTAATTTCCATAACTTGTTGACCTTGGATAACAAGCTACTACAAACAGATGTGGGTGGACTTGGTGATTTTATAAGCACTTTCACTGTAAGATGTTCAAGTTGTTAATGCATCAGTTGATTCAACCTTTGATAATCTTGTATTTTCCACCCAACAGGATGAAGAGGAGGCAGGTCTTCTGGAGCTGCTAAAATCTCAGATCTGTGACAACGCTGCTCTTTACGCCCAGAAGTACGATGAAGAGTTCCAGCCTTACCTGCCTCGGTTTGTCACCGCTATCTGGAACCTGCTGGTCTCCACTGGCCAGGAGGTCAAGTATGACCTGGTGAGACTGCTGATGATAAATTCATGTACCTTATCAATAGATCATGTGGACCGCCTGCTAACACCTTTGCTCCTTTTTGGTTTGTGACATAGCTTGTGAGCAATGCTATTCAGTTTCTGGCATCTGTGTGTGAAAGGCCCCACTACAAACATCTGTTTGAGGACCAGAACACACTCACCAGCATCTGTGAGAAGGTCATTGTGCCCAACATGGAGTTCAGAAGTGAGTCGAGACTGAAATGGTATCTTGGGGATGAATGGGTACATGACCATATTGTTTCTGCTCTGCCATTGTACTTTAACGGCAGCGATCTGCATAATGGTCTCTGATACCGATGCATAGATTTCTCTGGTTCCAGGTGCTGATGAGGAGGCCTTTGAAGATAACTCTGAAGAATACATCCGAAGAGATCTTGAAGGATCAGGTAATAACCCAACCATTTAAAACTCATCAATGAGACAAATTGAGCTGGAGGATTGTTTAAGCATACGGTTGTTGACCCCCTCTGTTCTGTGTCCTCCCTGCAGACATAGACACTCGGCGCAGGGCTGCCTGTGACTTGGTGAGAGGCCTGTGTAAGTTCTTTGAGGGCCCGGTCACAGCCATCTTCTCTGGCTATGTGAACTCCATGCTTGGGGAGTATGCCAAGAACCCAGGCGTAAACTGGAAGCACAAAGACGCTGCCATCTACCTGGTCACTTCTCTGGCCTCTAAAGCCCAGACAGCAAAGGTATGGTGATAATTCCTTTCGTATTTGGGTGTGTGTAACATTGCTGGATTATAAAAATTATTGCAGTAGACATTGAGCAACTGACATTGAGTCATGTAAAATGTGTCTTTTTAAGCATGGTATCACGCAAGCTAACGAGTTGGTGAACCTCACAGAATTCTTTGTGAACCACATTCTCACAGACCTCAAATCCCAAAATGGTAAATACAAAGTTTAACTGATAAACAAATGATTAATGAATTCATGATCACAGCTGTGGATTGCTTTATATCTGTACTTTTATCAAACATGTTTACTCTGTTCTATTCTAGTCAATGAGTTTCCAGTGTTGAAGGCTGATGCCATCAAATACGTCATGATCTTCAGGAGTCAGGTTTGATTTTGTTTTTAGGGTTTTTCTTTGAAAATTCACTGTCATGAGTTCAGCCCATTTACTAAGGGTTGAAGTCAACACTTAGAGGGGCCTGTGAATAACCAGTCCTCCTTTGTCCCCTCTTGCCTTCCAGCTGCCCAAAGAGCAGCTGCTGCAGGCTGTCCCTCTGCTGGTGGCCCACCTGCAGGCAGAGAGCACAGTGGAGCACACCTACGCTGCCCATGCCCTGGAGAGACTCTTTACCATGAGGGGCCCCAACAACTCCACACTGTGAGTAGTAACCCAGCTACATAAAGATAATCAACTATAGACTTAATCTTATCCAACACCACACAATTTGTTTCAGTATCACTCCTACAGAGATGGCTCCCTTCACGGAACAGCTGCTCAACAACCTGTTCAAAGCCCTGGCTCTGCCTGGCTCCTCAGAGAACGAATATATCATGAAAGGTACGGGAGTTTGAGGGTTAACTGCTCTGCTAATAACTTATATGGCTTTAATGATTAACTATCCTTTTGCGGATAGTATAACTACCCTAGGATAACTATCCTTTTGTGGTGACATGAGGTTGCGGAGGACCTCGTCACTTTCTTAAGGTTTTGTGGCCAATATTTTTTTTTTAGAGTGTACTGATCCTTTTTTCCTACCCTGACATCTCCTTCATTCTCTTCCAGCCATCATGCGCAGTTTTTCCCTCCTGCAGGAGGCCATTGTACCTTACATCCCCACACTGATTGGCCAGCTCACTCACAAGCTCCTTCTGGTCAGCAAGGTAGGTCACACCCTCATCTCTTGTCTGTGCTGCGGTGGATACATACACACATGAGCTGACTTGCATTGTGGCCAAGTGGCAGCTGTATTTACCTGTATCATTATTTCTTTCAGAACCCCAGCAAGCCTCACTTTAACCACTACCTGTTTGAGTCCCTGTGCCTGTCTATCCGGATCACCTGCAAGGCCAACCCAACCACTGTGGGCAGCTTCGAGGAGGCCCTTTTCCCAGTCTTCACTGAGATCCTACAGAATGACGTACAGGGTATGTGGCTTTATCCTAGAAAGCAGCAGGTTACAGCAGTCCTTGTTAAGCATAAGATGCCCATCTTACTAGAACAGGCCTAGGAAAGTGAGTGGAAGGTGAATGTCCTTGATTTTGATTTATTAGGATCCCAATTAGCCGATGCCAATGGCGACAGCTAGTCTTACGGGGGTCCGACACATAACGAAAAATACATTACAGACAAAATACTTTAAAATGTACATACATTTCAAAACATTGACATGTAGTGTGTGTGTGCATCTATCAGTTACATATATATGTCAGTACATACACACAAGTAGGTCACATGGGGGAGAGGTGTTGTGCCTTGAGGTGTTGCTATATTTGTTTTTTGAAACCAGGTATGGTAACTAGGTCTTTCTTTGCAGCACTTGACCATATGACTGGACAATAATCAAGATAAGATAAAACTAGAGCCTGCAGGACTTGCATTGTGTTGTTAAAAAAGCAGAGCATATCTTTATTACGTACAGACCTCTCCCCATCTTTACAACCATTGAATCTATATGTTTTGACCATGACAGTTTACAATCTAAGGTAACACCAAGTAATTTAGTCTCCTCAACTTGTTCAACAGCCACACAATTCATTACCACATTCAGCTGAGGTCTACAACTTAGGGAATGATTTGTACCAAATACAATGTTCTTAGTTTTAGAGATGTTCAGGACCATTTTATTACTGGCCACCTATTTGAAAAGACTGCAACTATTTAAGGGTTTCAGTGACTTCATTAGTTGTGGTTGCTGATGCGTATATGGTTGAATCATCAGAATACATGGACACGCATGCCTTCTTTAATGCCAGGGGCAGGTCATTGGTAAAAATAGAAATGAGTAGAGGGCCTAGAGAGCTGCCCTGCGGTACACCACACTTGACATGTTTGACATTAGAGAAGCTTCCATTAAAGAAAACCCTTTGAGTTCTATTAGATAGATAGCTCTGAATCCACGATATGGCAGCGGTTGAAAAGCCATACCGCATATGTTTTCTCAACCGGTTATGGTCAATAATATCAAAGGCTTCACTGAAATCTAACATTACAGCTACCACAATCTTCTTATTATCAATTTCCTTCAACCAATCATCAGTAATTTGTCAGTGCAGTACATGTTGAGTGCCCTTCTCTATAAGCATGCTAAAAGTCTGTTGCTATATCTCTGTAAACAAATTAACATTGGATTTGGTCAAACACCATCTTTTCCAACAGTTTGCTAAGAGCTGGCAGCAAGTTGATAGATCTGCTGTTAGAACCAGTAAAGGCCGCTTTACCTCCAGGCCTGAGGACAAAGACATTCCTCTAGGCTCAGATTAAAGATATGACAGATAGGTGTGGCTATAGGTAAGAGTGGCCATCCTCAGGTGTTTTTCATCTAAGCGGTCAATGCCAGGAGGTTTGTCATTATTGATCGATAACAATAATTTTTCCACCTCTCCCACACTAACTTTACAAAATTCAAATTTGCAATGCTTTTCTTTCATTATTAGTTTTTTTATGCATGAGTATGATGGCTCACTGTTCGTTGTTGGCATTTCCTGCCTAAGTTTGCCCACTTTCCCAATGAAGTAACCATTAAAATAATTGGCAACATCAAATGGTTTTGTGATGAATAAGCCATCTGAGTTGAATTTCTGCCCATAATTTCATTTAAAGTACTAAAGTTTTTTTCCCATCATTCTTTATATCATTGATCGTGGCTTCATAATAGTTTTTTTTTTTTGTTCAGTTTAGTCACATCATTTCTCAATTTGCAGTGAGCCAGCCAGTCAGATGTGCAGCCAGACTTATTAGCCACTCCTTTTGCCCCATCTCTTTCAACCATACAGTTTTTCAATTCCTCATCAATCCATGGAGTAGTCAGTTTCTTAACAGGTGCATGTTTATCAATAATTGGAAGAAGCAATTTCATAAATTCATCACGTGCAGCATCTGGATGCTCCTTATTAATCACATCAGACCAACAAATATTTTTAACATCCAAGAGTCACAGCAAAATCTTTTGTATGATCTCTTATACACTATTATAGTGTGTAAGATATGAGAGGCTTGGCTCTCTCATCCCTTCCAGGCCTTTGGGAGGGCGGGTGGACAATGAACCAGTCATAGCGGATGTAAACAATGTCCCCACATGCTCTGGCAGCTTTCATGGCTGGGATAAGTTATTTCCTTTTCTGGCACACAGCTTGAGGATAGTCCTCATTGAGGAAGATTATACTGTACGTTCCTCAAGTTCTTGGCTCTTTCCAGAACAGCTACCTTGTTCCTGTCACCTGGCCGGTGGTGGGTTTTCCAGTCCTGTGGGCACACTCCACCTCAATCTTCCTGTGGTCCATCTTCACTTCCTCCGAGATCATTTCCCTCACTTTTTCGTCAGACTCCGTCCAGGTCTCGTGGAGATTCTGCAATTACGTCCACAGCAATGTTCCGCCTTAATTGTCCCTCGAGAATCTGATTTCTCCATCATTGTTATCATGGATTCACATACAGAACTGATGTCCTCTCAATGAGTTTCATCTTGCTGTTCTTTTGTTTAAACTCATCAAACTGACCCTGGGAGAACTGCAAACTGTTCTTCAGGTCCTGGACCTCTCTGGTCAGGTCCATTATTTTATTAGTTGACTCCACCAGTATTTGGACAAAACACTTGAAGCTATTTTCTTGTAACAACTGCTTGTAGAACTATTTTTGTTCGTTTAAAAAAAATCCTTCACTTGTGATAGACACCACTGTCCTCAATGATACTCCCGCCGGCTTTGGTCTTTGTCATGGTAGCAACGTAGGTTACGCTGTTACTCCTCGCAGTTCCAGACAGGGCAGGTCGCAGGGAAGCTTGAAAACAGCGGGGAACTAGACAGCCACAAGCCTGGGACAATCTGCGGTCCCAGCCACGGGCTGCGTTCAAGCCCTCAAGAAAACCCTGCTAGCTTGACACGCAGCTAGGCTAGCTACTACGCCAAACAGGTCCCAGCAACTGATGCCAAACGTGTTTCGGGATCCAAACTCAAAAGGTAGCTAACCAAACTTTTTCAATAGACTTTCAAAACTTTCCAAAACAACAAACCGAGCTCTCCCTCGTTCAACAGGAAGTGGGGTGCTTCCAGGTTGAAACAAGGTTAAAACAAGCATTACAACATCACCTCTTCTGAAGGGGTTGTGGAGCCATCCTCCGAATTGCATGTATGCAAGCTTGTTGACGAGCTCAAATGTTGGCAAACTACACATTGCCCTTCTTACATCAACTTTCCCCCTTCCTGTTGTTGCAGAGTTTGTGCCCTACGTGTTCCAAGTGATGTCTCTGCTGCTGGAGATCCACACCAGCTCCATCCCCAACTCCTACATGGCCCTGTTCCCCCACCTGCTGCAGCCCGTGCTGTGGGAACGCACTGGCAACATCCCTCCTCTGGTGCGCCTGCTTCAGGCCTACCTGGAGAAGGGGGCTGCCACCATAGCCAGCTCTGCCGCTGACAAAATAGTGAGTAACATCTGGGGGCATGTTGGTGGTAAGGGGACTTTTACTGTAATAAGAGGACTCTTACTTTACATAATATTCTGTAACCTACCCATTTTAGTTTAACTGAGGCATGCAATTGGTTAGTTGTGATAATCTGACGTTAAACTGCTCTCCCTGTTCAGCCTGGTCTGCTAGGAGTCTTCCAGAAGCTCATTGCCTCCAAGGCCAATGACCACCAAGGTTTCTACCTGATGAACAGCATCATAGAGCACATGCCCACGTGAGTCAACCACCTCCACCTGTCTATCTGATAACTGTATCCTCACTGTATTGTGTCGACTTTGTATGTAATTGACATGGCAGTTGTATCATGAGTTGTCTCCCTAGCGCTCATTCTCTCTCTCTCTCTCTCAGGGAGTCCATTGTTCAGTACAGGAAACAGATCTTCATTCTGCTCTTCCAGAGACTGCAGAGCTCCAAAACGACCAAGTTCATCAAGAGTGAGTACAGCTTAAAACTAATGTTGACATAATTTTTTTTAAAGTACCATTTGAAACTGAACCCACATCCTCTTGGTCTTTGTCATGCTATCACAACAAATGTGTCTGGTTGTATTAGCCTAGTTTTAGAACAAACTCAGTATGGTTCTGATCTCTCCTCAATGCTGCACATTTTCAAAGGCCCTCTTTTCCATAGGTTTCATGGTGTTTATCAATCTGTATGGTGTCAAGTATGGAGCCATTGCTCTGCAGGAGATTTTTGACAGCATACAGCCAAAGTAAGTGTCTCTTGTCAGATTAAATGAGACTATGACATGTTTGTTGTCTTTTCCATCATCGATATGTTCATTAGTGTAGCCATAAAGCTGTGTGCAGATGACCTACTTGCATTGATCTGCTCGCTGAACACAAGTCAATCAGTTTTCCCTTTTGTTTTTAAAGGCCAACCATAACATCTTACTGAATACACACACTTTCAGATATATACACTGCTCAAAAAAATTAAGGGAACACTAAAATAACACATCCTAGATCTGAATGAAATAAATAATCTTATTAAATACTTTTTTCTTTACATAGTTGAATGTGCTGACAACAAAATCACACACAAATTATCAATGGAAATCAAATGTATCAACCCATGGAGGTCTGGATTTGGAGTCACCCTCAAAATTAAAGTGGAAAACCACACTACAGGCTGATCCAACTTTGATGTAATGTCCTTAAAACAAGTCAAAATGAGGCTCAGTAGTGTGTGTGGCCTCCACGTGCCTGTATGACCTCCCTACAACGCCTGGGCATGCTCCTGATGAGGTGGCGGATGGTCTCCTGAGGGATCTCCTCCCAGACCTGGACTAAAGCATCCGCCAACTCCTGGACAGTCTGTGGTGCAACGTGGCGTTGGTGGATGGAGCGAGACATGATGTCCCAGATGTGCTCAATTGGATTCAGGTCTGGGGAACGGGCGGGCCAGTCCATAGCATCAATGCCTTCCTCTTGCAGGAACTGCTGACACACTCCAGCCACATGAGGTCTAGCATTAGGAGGAACCCAGGGCCAACCGCACCAGCATATGGTCTCACAAGGGGTCTGAGGATCTCATCTCGGTACCTAATGGCAGTCAGGCTACCTCTGGCGAGCACATGGAGGGCTGTGCGGCCCCCCAAAGAAATGCCACCCCACACCATGACTGACCCACCGCCAAACCGGTCATGCTGGAGGATGTTGCAGGCAGCAGAACGTTCTCACGGCGTCTCCAGACTCTGTCACGTCTGTCACATGTGCTCAGTGTGAACCTGCTTTCATCTGTGAAGAGCACAGGGCGCCAGTGGCGAATTTGCCAATCTTGGTGTTCTCTGGCAAATGCCAAACGTCCTGCATGGTGTTGGGCTGTAAGCACAACCCCCACCTGTGGACGTCGGGCCCTCATACCACCCTCATGGAGTCTGTTTCTGACCATTTGAGCAGACACATGCACATTTGTGGCCTGCTGGAGGTCATTTTGCAGTGCTCCTCCTTGCACAAAGAGTGAAAGCACCGCCAGCATTCAAAAGTGACAAACATCAGCCAGGAAGCATAGGAACTGAGAAGTGGTCTGTGGTCACCACCTGCAAAACCAGTCCTTTATTGGGGGTGTCTTGCTAATTGCCTATAATTTCCACCTGTTGTCTATTCCATTTGCACAACAGCATGTGAAATTTGTCAATCAGTGTTGCTTCCTAAGTGGACAGTTTGATTTCACAGAAGTGTGATTGACTTGGAGTTACATTGTGTTGTTTAAGTGTTCCCTTTATTTTTTTGACATACATACAGTGGGGAGAACAAGTATTTGATACACTGCCGATTTTGCAGGTTATCCTACTTACAAAGCATGTAGAGGTCTTTAATTTTTATCATAGGTACTCTTCAACTGTGAGAGACGGAATCTAAAACAAAAATCTAGAAAATCACATTGTATGATTTTTAAGTAATTAATTTGCATTTTATTGCATGACTTAAGTATTTGATCACCTACCAACCAGTAAGAATTCCGGCTCTCACAGACCTGTTAGTTTTTCTTTAAGAAGCCCTCCTGTTCTCCACTCATTACCTGTATTAACTGCACCTGTTTGAACTCATTACCTGTATAAAAGACACCTGTCCACACACTCAATCAAACAGACTCCAACCTCTCCACAATGGCCAAGACCAGAGAGCTGTGTAAGGACATCAGGGATAAAATTGTAGACCTGCACAAGGCTGGGATGGGCTACAGGACAATAGGCAAGCAGCTTGGTGAGAAGGCAACAACTGTTGGCGCAATTATTAGAAAATGGAAGAAGTTCAAGATGACGGTCAATCAACCTCGGTCTGGGGCTCCATGCAAGATCTCACCTCGTGGGGCATCAATGATCATGAGGAAGGTGAGGGATCAGCCCAGAACTACACGGCAGGACCTGGTCAATGACCTGAAGAGAGCTTGGACCACAGTCTCAAAGAAAACCATTAGTAACACACTACGCCGTCATGGATTAAAATCCTGCAGCGCATGCAAGGTCCCGCTGCTCAAGCCAGTGCATGTCCAGGCCCATCTGAAGTTTGCCAATGACCATCTGGATGATCCAGAGGAGGAATGGGAGAAGGTCATGTGGTCTGATGAGACAAAAATAGAGCTTTTTGGTCTAAACTCCACTCGCCGTGTTTGGAGGAAGAAGAAGGATGAGTACAACCCCAAGAACACCATCCCAACCGTGAAGCATGGAGGTAGAAACATCATTCTTTGGGGATGCTTTTCTGCAAAGGGGACAGGACGACTGCACCGTATTGAGGGGAGGATTGATGGGGCCATGTATTGCAAGATCTTGGCCAACAACCTCCTTCCCTCAGTAATAGCATTGAAGATGGGTTGTGGCTGGGTCTTCCATCATGACAACGACCCGAAACACACAGCCAGGGCAACTAAGGAGTGGCTCCGTAAGAAGCATCTAAAGGTCCTGGAGTGGCCTAGCCAGTTTCCAGACCTGAACCCAATAGACATTTTTTTGGAGGGAGCTGAAAGTCCATATTGCCCAGCGACAGCCCCGAAACCTGAAGGATCTGGAGAATGTCTGTATGGAGGAGTGGGCCAAAATCCCTTCTGCAGTGTGTGCAAACCTGGTCAAGACCTACAGGAAACGTATGATCTCTGTAATTGGAAACAGGTTTCTGTACCAAATATTAAGTTCTGCTTTTCTGATGTATCAAATACTTATGTCATGCAATAAAATGCAAATTAATTACTTAAAAATCATACAATGTGATTTTCTGGATTTTTGTTTTAGATTCCGTCTCTCACAGTTGAAGTGTACCTATGATAAAAATTACAGACCTCTACATGCTTTGTAAGTAGGAAAACCTGCAAAATCGGCAGTGTATCAAATACTTGTTCTCCCCACTGTACATACATACAGTGGGGGAAAAAAGTATTTAGTCAGCCACCAATTGTGCAAGTTCTCCCACTTAAAAAGATGAGTGAGGCCTGTAATTTTCATCATAGGTACACGTCAACTATGACAGACAAAATGAGGGAAAAAAATCCAGAAAATCACATTGTAGGACTTTTTATGAATTTATTTGCAAATTATGGTGGAAAATAAGTATTTGGTCAATAACAAAAGTTTCTCAATACTTTGTTATATACCCTTTGTTGGCAATGACACAGGTCCAACGTTTTCTGTAAGTCTTCACAAGGTTTTCACACACTGTTGCTGGTATTTTGGCCCATTCCTCCATGCAGATCTCCTCTAGAGCTGTGATGTTTTGGGGCTGTCGCTGGGCAACACAGACTTTCAACTCCCTCCAAAGATTTTCTATGGGATTGAGATCTGGAGACTGGCTAGGCCACTCCAGGACCTTGAAATGCTTCTTACGAAGCCACTCCTTCGTTGCCCGGGCGGTGTGTTTGGGATCATTGTCATGCTGAAAGACCCAGCCACGTTTCATCTTCAATGCCCTTGCTGATGGAAGGAGGTTTTCACTCAAAATCTCACGATACATGGCCCCATTCATTCTTTCCTTTACACGGATCAGTCGTCCTGGTCCCTTTGCAGAAAAACAGCCCCAAAGCATGATGTTTCCACCCCCATGTTTCACAGTAGGTACGGTTTTCTTTGGATGCAACTCAGCATTCTTTGTCCTCCAAACACGACGAGTTGAGTTTTTACCAAAAAGTTCTATTTTGGTTTCATCTGACCATATGACATTCTCCCAATCCTCTTTTGGATCATCCAAATGCACTCTAGCAAACTTCAGACGGGCCTGGACATGTACTGGCTTAAGCAGGGGGACACGTCTGGCACTGCAGGATTTGAGTCCCTGGCGACGTAGTGTGTTACTGATGGTAGGCTTTGTTACTTTGGTCCCAGTTCTCTGCAGGTCATTCACTAGGTCCCCCCGTGTGGTTCTGGGATTTTTGCTCACTGTTCTTGTGGTCATTTTGACCCCACGGGGTGAGATCTTGCGTGGAGCCCCAGATCGAGGGAGATGATCAGTGGTCTTGGATGTCTTCCATTTCCTAATAATTGCTCCCACAGTTGATTTCTTCAAACCAAGCTGCTTACCTATTGCAGATGCAGTCTTCCCAGCCTGGTGCAGGTCTACAATTTTGTTTCTGGTGTCCTTTGACAGCTCTTTGGTCTTGGCCATAGTGGAGTTTGGAGTGCGACTGTTTGAGGTTGTGGACAGGTGTCTTTTATACTGATAACAAGTTCAAACAGGTGCCATTAATACAGGTAACGAGTGGAGGACAGAGGAGCCTCTTAAAGAAGTTGTTACAGGTCTGTGAGAGCCAGAAATCTTGCTTGTTTGTAGGTGACCAAATACTTATTTTCCACCATCATTTGCAAATAAATTCATTAAAAATCCTACAATGTGATTTTCTGGAGTTCTTTTTCTCAATTTGTCTGTCATAGTTGACGTGTACCTATGATGAAAATTACAGGCCTCTCATCTCTAAGTGGGAGAACTTGCACAATTGGTGGCTGACTAAATACTTTTTTACCCCACTGGACATACATACTTGTTCTCCCCACTGTATGTATGTATGTATGTACAGTGGGGAGAACAAGTATTTGATACACTGCCGATTTTGCAGGTTTGCCTACTTACAAAGCATGTAGAGGTCTGTAATTTTTATCATAGGTACACTTCAACTGTGAGAGACAGAATCTAAAACAAAAATCCATAAAATCACATTATGACTTTTAAGTAATTAATTTGCATTTTATTGCATGACATAAGTATTTGATACATCAGAAAAGCAGAAC